TTTATCAATCTTTCTTCAGAAAGAGTCACACAACGTTCCAAAACCCAAAATACTACTCAGCATAAAGGGAAACTGTACCATGTAGTGAGTGAATTTAGTTTTACGCCCCACTCAGCAATATTCCAGCTATATGGCGGCGGTCTGTAAATAATCGAGTCTGAACCAGACAATCCAGTGATCAACAGCATGAACATCTATCCAAGCAGCTGGGATACGATAACATCTGTCAACCAATTTAGTGAGCCTGGCCACCCAATCCCGTTAGTCGCCTCTCTACGACAAGCATGGGTTACTGAAGATCTTTACCATGTAGTCTTGTGTCCAGTGAGAGCGCTTTGTCAATAGGTTCTCTTGGGTTAAATCTGCTAATCCCAGTAGTCAACCTGATTCATATACACCTGATGATATTTTTAGTTAAAAGGACGTGGAATTTTATATGGCTAATTTACATGACCATTTTATATAGCTGTATTTTGTAAATATATTTTTATGAATATTTTATTTTTAAGAATCGATTTCAAAATTCTCCCCTGACGTACAAATGTCTCCATGGCTTGGCCCCTTCCTACCTCTCTGACCTGCTTCACCCATATGTACCTGCCCGCAGTCTCCGTTCCAACTCTCAGAATCTTCTTGTGATACCTCCTACAAACTGAAATATTTCTTGACACCGCAGTTTCTCCTACACAGCACCGGCCCTCTGAATGTTCTTCCATATGACATCAAAGACTCTGACAGTTTTGATAGTTTTAAAGCAAAACTGAAAACCCACCTTTTCTCAGTATACTTCTCATAACTTCACCCATCTTCATCTTTGTAGCGCTTTGAGCATACCCAAGGGCGTGGAAAAGGCGCATTATAAATGTGCATTATTATTATTATTATTATTATTATTATTATTATTATTATAATGCTTAAGATGTCTCTCATAAGTCGCTGAGCGACTGGTCGTAGCATATTTTATTTATAATGTATATATATATGAAGTTATATATGTTTTATATGTACTACGAGTGAGACTTTAATAAACCTGTCTGTCTCTGTCTGTCTCGTCTGTCTGTCTGTCTGTCTGTCTATGAAGGATCCCTCAGCATCTCCTGGAGGGACGGGTAGCATCGAAGTTAAAAGCGTTCACTTATCACATCGAAGACCCGGGTTCGATATCCCATATTTGTGCAATGTGAAGCCCATTTCTAGTGTCCTCCGCCGTGATATTGCTGGCATCCCAGACAAAGCGGCGTAAAACGCTACTCACTCACTCACGCATCAAGAACCAGATCAACAAATACAGGGCACAACTGGTGCCCGTGGGGGCCCATTCCGACTTTTGTCTGAATGTATCACCCCAGTCTTAACACAGATATTTTGAATATTTGAATATTTTGGGGATTATGGTGTACAAGACGAATGTTTTAGCAGACAGGAGCCTGCTTGTTTATAAGTTTGCAAAACATCAAGCTAATAGTTTTGAGTTTAAGAGACTCCACATTGGTATTAATTCCATCTTTTTAACCACCTTCTGTAAATATAAAGAAAGTTAATCTTCGAGACAGGGACTTGGAAGTACAGTTACGTTTGTTGAGACTGCATTACATGTAATATCATGTGCACGTTGTATCAACAGAGTCGAGGTGAAATTGGTTTAAAAGTCGCGTTCCAAGTTATTGCACTTATCAAACTTGCGGCTGCTTGCATTACTCGATACTACTGCCGGCATTATAGTTGCATGCCATACCAGAGTTTGAAGTCGATACCCTACTGAGACACGGTACACCATATTTTAACATCATTTGGTATGAGTGAGTGAGTGAGTAAAAATTTAACGTCACGTCGGCAATATTGCAGCCATATCATTTGGTATGAAGAGATCGGGGATGGAACCTCCGAGCTTACAATCTGACGCTCTATCCACTAGACCAGGAAGGCGAGAGCAGTAACGGAGTCACAGGCAATTGAGCCGAGGCGGATTAAACGTAATAACATAAAATCCTAATAACAATAACACATAATGGCATTGTGTAATCGCATGGCAACATGTTGACAATATCACACATATTCCCTTTTCTTATGTTCACTAAATATGCAAACAAAAGATGGGCTTCACACATTGTACACTTGTTGGGAATCGAACCCGGGTCTTCAGCGTGACGAGTGAACGCTATATATAGATTACACCACCGCCCCGTTGTCGAATGAATCAAGGTTTACTATGTACTTCCTTGAGAGGCGCAACAGAGTGTGGTGAAGACGAACTCTTTCTTGCGGTTAACTTTACACAGAACCATTGTTTTGAGGGTGGATCAGTCATGGCGTGGTGTTGGATCACTGTGACTGGCAGAACACCTTTCCATGCCCTTCACGGATGTGTCACTGGGCAATATTACCGTGACAACATCTTCGAGGCACACGGTGCTTTTGCCATAAGAAAGACAACGCAATATCACACAGGGCAAGTACCCTCAACCAGGACATCATAACCACCTTACCGTGGCCAGCACTCCGTCCAGACTTGTCACCCATTGAACTTGTCTGGGATATCACCGTCAACAACCACTGACCTTCCTCAACAAACTTGGAGCTGCCCTGCTGGAAGAATGGAGTCAGTGAGAAAGTGTAGTTTTTACGCCGCTTTGAGCAATATTCCACCAATATCACAGTGGGGACACCAGAAATGACTGACTGACTGAATTTAGTTTTACGCCGCTTTTTAGCAATATTCCAGGAATATCACGGCGGGGACACCAGAAATGGGCTTAACACATTGTGCCCATGTGGGAATCGAACCCGGGTCTTCGGCGTGACGACCAACGCTTTAACCACTAGGCTACCCCACCGCCCCGACACCAGAAATGGCTCCACACGTTGCACCCATGTGGGGAATCGAACCCGGGTCTTTGGCGTAACGAGCGAACGCATTAACCTCGGCGTCACCTGGAAGAATGGAGTGAGCCTAGTTGACATTGGGCGTTGATTAGGTGTATGCCTCGGGCAATCTGGTGATTGTCTTAAGAATAGAGTCGGATTCAAGCTGAATGACTTGAAGGACATTACTGCGAATTGGGAGTGAGATGTCACCAGGGGCGGATACAACTTTTTGAGAAAGGGGCACACTCTTCAGAAGGGGAGAGGGGTGCACACTTCATTTCACGAGAGTTTCAATTGTCATTTAGTAAACTTTCCGGACAAAGGGAGGGGCGCACCCTGCACCCCTCTGGATCCGGCTATGGTTCCTGTTACACTATTCGTCTCACTACAGATGAAATATCAATCCGTGTGGCACCTGTTTATTGAATATTCCTTACATTTTGAATAGTATATATACATGACGGACCATTTGTATCACAGACGCTATAGACGGGCAAGATAAGACCAACGATGATCATCCTCACATATAGATATTTCCTTTTACAGTAATCAATATATAGCAAATATGTTTTTGTATTTTCTGGGGGTTTTATTTTAAGCAAAATATATTGGAGCCCAAGAAAACACGGCCATGGAAGACACTTTGGCTTTCATAACAAAGATGTGTTAAAATTGTAAAGCTATATTGTTTTATATGAAATATGAATCTATCTACTCCATGCACGTGTAACCTAAGCTAACTGCAGATTTTGTCATGCATGCATTAGTGCAGTCATGTGGTCACAAAAAGTCAGGTAAATACAACCTTGGCTATTAAGTCAATAACATGACTGTACACGACACCACAAATACCAGAAATTCGGTCATAACATCGCTGGTGAGCCAGTGATCAAATGAATTGACAGCGACCCCTGGACAGTATGTCAATAGAACACACGTGTTGGACATTCCGAGTAGCGCAGTATTTACAAAATCATAACTGCAAACATATCATACAACTGAGATCAGTCATGCTGCTCTTTTTTTAGATTTATGCAAACATATTATACAATTGTGATCAGTCTAGAAAGTAGAAAGTGAATATGACCTAACACACGGGTATAGGAGCACGTGTGTTGTGACCTTAAATGCATGTACAATGGGCTTAAGTGTAGAATAGTCATGAATATTCATCAGTGGGCGGAGATTATATGACCACGTCAGACGTGTTTCCTAGGCTACACTTAAGCCCATTCTACATTGTTTGAAAGAGATAGCAGACAGAGATGGCCTTTGAATTTTACACTTCCTTTTCGGGTAGCAGAGCAGTCAACGAAGAATGTCGTCTGTTCCGACAAATGCAAGGTAACCAGTCGTCTATTCCGAGGTGAACCCGCCCGTCCAAACACATTTATGTTCAAACAGTAACTTGAATGATCAATCGTCAATGCAGTCTCGCTTGAATCGAGGGCCATTATGTTCATCTGCTGAACGGCTTTGTTGCCTTGCTTTCTGCACGCGCGAAATGAGTTTGCATTTGATAGTGGAAATGACAAAAGCGTCTGGGTACACTGCATACTCCATTGTTCCTCTCATTCATACAAACCCGTGAAGTTTCAAACGTCGTTGGTTTGATTAGAACCAGCTTTACACTCGTGAAGATCCGTGCTAGAATTGACCTTCAGCAACCCATGCTTGTCGTTACAGGCGACTCTAGGGATAGGGATAGTGACCTTGATCTTTGACCTCGACCGTGTGTGACCTCTAGGTCCTTGACCTTAACCTTACTTGATGTGTATGTCGTCACATAATGAGCTTTGTGCTTATTAGTTATTGGTTAAATGATAAATGTGTCATCCAAAAAGCTGAATGGTGATTGGTTAATGAGTATTGGCGGTGACATGACATAAACACATTTGATTGTTCCCGCCATGTTTGAGCCTCTTTTTCTGTAGGTGGAAAATGAATCGAATGTACTAAATGCAGGTCGGTAGTCACGGAGCGCCCCCTTTGTCAGGTCGGGTCAGAGACCTACATGTGGTGTCTGGCTGGGTTTAAGTCAAGCAAGAATTCACCCAGTGGGCGCATGAGGAATTTATTACTGACCCCCGAATTAGATCTACCTGTGGTTTGAGGTAACTATGCTCTGAGTGATACACACCTTTGTATTAGCAGTTTGTGTATTATGTTTACCGGCCAGTTCTGTCAAAGACCGTGGCGATTTCAGGTTATTGTGCAATAACCAGGAAAGAAATGAGGTCACTTAGAGAGACGGTGGAAGGAAGGGCAGTCACCTGTGTAAACAACCCTTTTGAATTATGGTTATACAACCTTGCACCACTGCTTATAAAGCCAGGTTATGTTTGTTTTCATATCATTTCTATTCTAACTATTACAATGCATATATTTCTTCATACATTTTTATATTTTTCACAAATTATTCATTACAAACGAGGGTGGCTGTGTATAGTCTGTCTTGTTCTTAGCCCCACATGTCAAGCGCAGCAGTAGGCAATTAGCAAACGCGTCCACGCCAACCTTAAACTAATTAATCAAAGATGAAGTTATTGAGCTGTATCGGCTCCGGCCTTTCTTCTCGGGTACATCCCTTGGTCAAGTACAGATAAGTAGTCTCATCCCAGCAGGAGAATGTTTTACCTCCAACTAAGTCGTAATCAAAAATCAACTTTTGGTGAACAAGATCGAGATTATCATCACACCATCCCTTTATCCTGTCGTAAAATGCCATGGCCAAGCGCTGATTGATATTTTGTTACCAGTTGGCGCAAGTTGACCGTGGCTACACCATAAAGAAAATCAAACCTTGTTAGGTAATCATCTTCTTACCACCTAGCTTGTGTAGTAAACATTGTCAGCATAGGACAGATAACGAATATGGAAACTTCAACTTTATAGATTCTTCATAATGGCAAACGAGTAGAGCTGTGGGTTATAAAATCCTGGGTTCTACCATCTCAGGCACACTTGCTTGAATAAACCGAAGAAACTCACAGCTCTCTCATTTCTTGTTTCAAGATAAGAAACATTTAAACTTTATTCTTGTTTATGTCTAAGTTGTTATTTCTTTGTAATTATTGTCTAGAAAATGTTAGAGTCAGGTTTGAACCATTCCTACGATATTGAAGCACTTTTAGAAATACCTACCATTGTAAATGCTAGTTTTAGATATATCCAGGGATTTTCTTATGCACCTTACAGCCAACATTTGTGTTTTGATATATCACCAACACGATAAGTATTTGAAATTGATATATTAAACGTTCCGATCCGCGTGCGTACAGTCAATACCGGAGTTAAATGGTATATGTCAAATCTGAGCACTTCTCGCCGTTTACCGTATTTGCTCAAGGCATGTATGGTGATAACGGAAATTTACTTACACTCGTCATAAACCGTTACCGTAGTTAATGCATTAAGCGCGACAAACCGTAATAGTCGTAAATTCTACCGTAGTCAATACATTAAGGCAACGTACCGTGATAATCATAAATTCCTACCGTAGTTAACGCAATAGGCACTACATACCGTAATTGTCATAAATGGGCCCCGTAGTTAACGCACTAGGCGCGACATAACGTAATAGTCATAAATCTGCACAACAGTTAATGAACTAGGCACTACATGCTGTAATTAAACCGTTGGGCGCTCCACTCAGTACTTGTTCTTTGCATTTGTTGTTGATGAATAATTTATCCGTCAGGTTGCTATTTATCAGTACCGTAGTTACTCAAGGAAATGTTGTATTATTTGTATTATGTTTCTGTAAGCAGTTACCGTACATACCCTGTTGTCCCGCACATTGCTTGTATTACCTGACTTAGACTTAAACTGTATTAGGATATCATTGATTACTATTTCTATTATTGTATGTCATTATTATGTATGAATTGATGTATTTTGAGTGTCATGCAAGGACACTTGCTTGAATAAAACCGAAGGAACTCACAGCTCTCTCCTTTCTTGTTTCAAGGCTCGCTCCCTATTAGGGGTGTCACGATACGCGAATGTATCGATGCATCGATACATTTTACTGACGATACGAGATACATGCTTGTGTGTGTCGATTCCTATTTTAAAACTTTATCGATCCAATTTTTATGCTTTATCCATCTCCTTCAAAGTCTTGATAGTAAAATTATACGAGATCGCCTCAGATAAATAGATGTAGCTAGCTTTACTTAAAAGATAGGTTGGAACTAACAGCTTTGTGATTGGCTAGACTATTTTGATGGACCAATCAGCGAGCGCGTACGTTGCCGGTAAGGTAATGCTATGAAAAGATGCGAAAATTATGTATCGAGATACGTATCGTATCGTGGCCTTAAAATCCTGATACGTATCGTATCGTGTGATTGGCGTATCGTGACACCCCTACTCCCTATAGCTAATTCCCCAAATCGAGGCCTCGACAGCACCTTTTAGCACACCTAGCGCTAAAGGTCGTCCTAACGGACACAAGCACAGCTGTCTTATAACCATGCCCGCTGAAGGATGGAAAGAGTCCAGCATTTATTTGAAGCCTGAACACCCAGCCTCCTTTTCAGGTTCAACTACGTTATATCACATGATGAAAAAAGGAAGAGAAATTTGATATCAGCTTGCATCATATCAAGAAATGGCTAACTGCTCAAGATGCCTATTCGCTTCAGCGACCTCTGAAGTACAAGTTCAAGCGGAACAGAGTGATCTCAACTGGTTTGAATGACCGGTTGGATATTGACTATCCTGTCTAAACCGGCACCCACGGGACCAAAATATAATGCTGGCTTAGACAGGGTGCCGGATTTGACAGTGACGATCATTTTCCGACATGGCTGTCATATAAACTCGTCAATCTGTTTATCTCTATAATGCCTTTGATTGGGACCTTGATTGGACTGCTCATACCCATGCCGGCTTAGAGTTTGATTCACCGCGCAATCACTACTTCCTGATTATCTATCGTTAGGAGATTAATTAGTGTATTTGATTATTGGTCCTTGCTTGGACTGCTCATACCCATGCCGGTTTAGACAGGTTTAATTACAGTTTAAAAATAGAATAGAATACGTAGTAGACAGGTGCCGGATTAAACAATATTTACTGATAATACTATCGTTATAAACTGGCGGAACCAAAATTATATGCCAGTTTTGAGAGTGTGCCGGATTAGACAGGTGCAGGTATTGGCAGGTTTCACTGTACTTATTAATAGCTAATAATGTTTTCACAGGATTTCTGTGGGTGGAGCCCCCTTCAAAATAAAACACCAAACAACGTCATTAAGGTCATGAAGAAAATATTTTTTTCATGCTGCTTTACCACAAATTATTAGATCTGGGTGCCGTTCCACTAACCGATCTTATCTAAGATCAATCTTAGCAAGTTACGCCAATTTTACAATCGTCTTAGCTAAAAGTTACATCCGTTCCACTACCCAATCTTAGGCCGATCGTTATCGGTCCCGATCTTACGATCCGATCCAAGCTTAGATCGAGACTCTTTTCGTGCGAGAGATAGAGGAATGCGAGGCACGAGTTATCTTCTTTGCATAGCCTAGCAAATGATGGAAGTAGTTTACGAACCAACTGAGTGGAGTGGGTGAGTGAGTTTAGATTTACGCCGCACTCCAGCTATATGGCGGCAATCTGTAAACAATCGAGCTAAGATGCATAGCGTTCACTAACATGAGCGTCGCTATGTATCTTAGCTATAAATAATCGAGTCTGACCAGACAATCCAGTGATCAACAGCATGAGCATCGATCTGCGCAGTTGGGAACCGATGACATGTGTCAACCAAGTCAGCGAGCCTGACCACCCGATCCCGTTAGTGGCCTCTTACGACAAGCATGGGTTATTGAAGTGAAATATTCTGGGCCGGGCATGGGTATTTTTCCAACCGAGTGTAAACGTGGAGAAAAACCTAGAGCAAAAAATATTGCACCTTGGTTTCAGGTGCAAGTGCATGTGAACGCTGGGTATCAGGCATTCTATAATATTAATAAATGCATATTTATAGTGTGCCTATTCCACATCATTGGGCATGCTCAAAGCGCTGTGTACAATTTAGAGTATATTTACAGCCGAGATTATGGGTAATATACTGAGAACAGGTTTTAAGTCTGGACTTTAAAATGTCAATTTTGTCAGAGCTTTTGATATGTGCCTGAACCTTGTCAATCAGAATAAACAAGGCGTGACGAGGCTATAGACCATTCTTAACCAATATGCATGACCTCGAGGTCAAATCGAAAGCGAGGCTTAAATAGGTTGACCCAACCTTGAAAATGGCGACCTCGAAAAGGAAAGATTACTGCTGTGTGCCTTTGCGTTGGAGTGATGCCCATAAGGATTGTACGGTAT